GTTGCTAAGCTAATACATAGGTAATTAAAGCAATTCGATACCTTTTTTGATTTTCAACGGGGTGCCACTACAGACATCATATTATCTTAATGATAATCTACTTACTAAAAACGTAATTTTTAATTTAATTATCGCCATCTAATAGGCATTTACTGGTACTAAAGTATTTTAAGCTTTAGGCAACGTCTTACTGTAAGATACTTAAACTTGTTTAATATTTATATACGTGATGACGGCGTAGATTATTAACTTTTATTAATAATCTTTTACTATCTATTTATATATTTTTTGGGGACTTTCATAATAGGAAAGACTCTGCATAAGTTCGACTGGCTCTTGACGCATTCAGATAGGGACATTCCTTATTAGTTGTTATAAAACGAAGGTATTGTAGATGCTTTGACTTTTGCACCCTCTTTTGTTTAATGTTTTTATTGGAGTTTTAACATCTCAATAGTGTCCCTTCGATAGATATAAATCGACACTTGGGTATAACTCATAACTTTAGTAATTTATGCCGTTGGTTTAGGGGTCCTGGCCTCTGCGATCTTGTAATCGACTGATTTATTTGCTTTTTGTATGAGTGTTGGTTGTTATTCTTGTTTTGCCTCATTCGACGTCCCTTCGCCGCAAGATCCTATCCACTTCCTTTCCAAGGCGATAGCTTTTACCCACCAACGACAAGATATTTTATTGTCGTTGCTTCATTTCCAAAATTGCTTAAGAAGGCCCTCGTTACATTTTATTAGTGATATGGGAAGGGATTTCCCCATTCGTACCAATAAATCATACTTCTTATCGGCAGTCGTCAGTCATATAGAGTTGGCAATATTGGAGGAAACTGTTTGCGTGGAAGGGATGAAAGTTGTTTTGATATCAGGGGAACATTACACTGGGGAAATCGAATATGTTAAAGGTTTTATTAGTACTTACCGTCTAGCACACATGATCAGTGAGTAATTCGATATTTTAAAATTTTCGATTTCTCGTTTCTACGTGTTCACTCCACACCTATTTTTATCTTGCATTTAAATAATTTTTTGAGAAAAACATTTTGTATTTTATTTAAAATACTTTTCCAAACATATTTTGTATTTGTAAAATGCAAAATACATTTTTGCCGTTTTGTTAGTATCACCGATCAAATATTATATAGAATGATGAATGAAAGTTGCTCACATTGGCCATTGAAGGTATTAGAAGCTTAAAGAGGAAAAAGAGATATTCCGTGAATGCCTTTTAATTCTGAAGAGAACCCAAAAAATTCTAAACTCCTTGGAAATGGATAATTTAAAATATTGGATCGATATTGTTTTCAGGGTTCAGTGTCATTGTCCATTGAATTTCGAAGTTCCAAATTGACATCAGCATCTGCCAAATCACAACTTATAGCATCTAATTAATGTCTGTAATCCAAAATTCTTAGAAACGATTAGAAACACTTCACTTATTAGATAAAACCAAAGCTAAAGAAACTATGGATTCAACTTCTTTCTCTTATTACAATGTGTAAAATGGGAAAATACGTATTTTACATTTAGTATTTAAAATACAAAAGGGTAATCTATTTCATATTTTACATTTGAAATAACAAATAAAAAAAGTATTTACATTTTGTATTTAAATACCTCTTAAAAACCATTTCGCACATCTCTGGTCACAACACGGTTGATAATACTAATAATTAGTTTCTTATTAACAACCAACAGCTGTAAGTGATTTCAAAAATAATGCGTTAGTGATGTGTGTTTTTATTCATTTTTATTAATCTTTTACTTGATTTAAAGCGTAGGCATTGATGTGCCTAACCTGGGAATATCAGTTAATGTGCTTATTTGTTTCTTTATTGTGCCTATAATTTTTTGTAGTGATGAAGATAGCAAGTCCAATAGTAAAAAATGGTAATTGTTAAATCAATAAAATAAAAGATCCTACAACGTTTACTGTATTTACGATTAGATAAATTGGCGATAACAATTTGTTATTATTGTTCTCAGTACCATAGCATGAAATTACGAAAGTCTTATTTCTGACACGTTCAATTTTGAAAGATTATTTTATAATAAACTACACTTACATTTATTAGGAAAAGAGGAATAATAAAAGTTTATGTTAGTAACAATGAACACACTTTATTGTTTGAAGACGTGAACTGAAAACACTTTTACTTGAAAGTTACATAAAATGTTGAAGTCGTTCTTTGGAGCTTTAGAATTTTTATGTCTCTTGATAGTAGTTTCTTTCAAGAATAAACACAAGAATCTATAGAAATAGATTTTCCATTTTTCTCCTTCACACTTTACGTAAAATGTATTACATTGTTTTTTTTTTGTGTGTGAGGTCGTTCGAGCTTGTTTATGGAGTTGTAAATCACGTTTGCACAATTTAAAGTATGATTTAAACCTCTGCAACTGGCAGCACAACCCATACAGCTCGCCTGCGACTTGAAAAACCAATTTTTACGCGAGAAACCATCCGAAACTTTTCCACGTTTTCGAAAGCGATTTTTGATTAAGTAATTGTAAAATAATTTAGCTCAAACTGTATTTAAAAACGAAGGAAAGTATTTGCAAGTAAAAAGAGAAACAAGCGGAAAAAACAGGATTAATAAATTAGATTTAAATATAGCATTCAATTACGGAAGGCTAAATTTTTCCTAAAGCATATGCTGTAAATGGGGTAAAAACAAACAAATAAAATTTTCTACTCGGTATGTTGGTTAAAATTATGGAGCAATCCATTCATTTCTGGACATTTCAAAGGGAAATTACGATAAATTTTGTTAAACTTTTCCTGAAACCTCATTACCTAACATTAATGTGGTTTTTACTAACTCACCTCTTCTACGAAATCTCCTGTTTACTCGTAAAGGAGTCCTTTGATTATTATAATCATTTACCGTTTTGTAGAGACAGGGCCGGCCTTAGCCGTCTAGGCGCCCCGGGCGCGTCATGCCTTTCGCGCCCTTTTAGGTATACTCATTTCATTACAATTGAACAACTTAATTTAAATGTGTACCATATCTGTTATTAAATTAATAGAAAGCTACAAACATTACACATACTTATTAATAATAACATATTTTAACCATTAATTCTCTAAACAATGCACATTACCTATCTATATTGTGTGTCAGTGACATCACGAACCATTAAAAAAAAAATAAAATCATATTTTTCTAGTTTTTGTCAGCAAATTCTCTGAAGAGATTGGCAAAATGTATATTTTCTACAACTTAATTTTCCATAGATAGTGCGGTCAATCTTGTTTGAGATGTTGTAGACCGCTAATAAGTTTTTGTAAATTTTAGTTTACAAAAACTTCGTCCGCCACTTGCAACAGTCACTGTTATCGTTAACAGAATACGTAGCGATATCCAAATGTCCGTGATTACAAAATGTAAAGAGATTTTAAACGAGGGTAAGTGGGTATACTAATGGTACCTAAAACGGTTTTTTGATTTGCTTGTGAACTTACAAGTATGTACAAAGCAAAGAAAGAAAAGTATATATGATAGATACGACAAGTGGCAAAATGACAGGTCGTGTTTGTTAGACATAGAATACTTATACTCCTACGAGAAAAGTCTATATAAATGTTAATACGCTGAGTCTAGTTTTCCTTTAGATCGATAAAAATGGGTATTCAAACTAAGTGGTTAGGTTGAACTACTGCGCGCGGCGCCCTGTAGTATGCTACATTTAGTTTCTCTAACGATGTGACCTTTAGTTTGACCGGCACAAAGAAAGAACGGCACACTAGGCCAGAAAAGGAAGGAGACAATTCTCGGCCAAACTCTTAACCGGTGAGGAGCGTATAATCCGTACAGTANAAGGTAGGCTTGTTGGAGATGCACCCATATCCATTGGTGACCTCATTGTGTGGTTATCCAATTCCGTCAACAACATATCTTGATACTATGCAACATGCAATATGATTTAATTTGATTTGACTCATTCTTGATCGAATGTAACTTTTAAGACGTTTTAATGTTGAAAAACTGCAAGAAAAGCTAGAAATCCTCTCAAGAAGTCGAACGAATTTAGAAAATGTGTGTATAATACTGCTGATTACACAGTTGTATAAATTTGCTTGTTACTGTTAATGTAATTATTTTTCCTCTGAGGGAGTAGCAGGTGGGACCATCTTAGACATCCGGTAATTGATTAATGAACTCCACTGGGCAATTCCTATGTGCTATGATACTCTTTTATTTTCAATCTCAAAATTCCGCCGTGAATTCTCCGCTTCCTCAGGAGAACTACAATAGTTTCACAAAATGAAGAAGGAAGTTACTCTACACTTTCGTACGATCGCAAGTAATAAGTAATATTTTGATATTATTGCAACTTTCATTTTATAAAACTATTGTACAGGTCTGACGATGGAAGCTGGTGAGCTGTCGCGTAGGTACTTGCCCATTTATGAGCTATTTGGGTAAGTCACTTGGAACCGATACACAAATAAGCTTCCAGTAGGCGTAAATTATAGTATTAATACAGATAGGACAGTAGCGTACTAGAAAATAATGCAGAAACATAACTTACCAAAAAGAAAAAATAAACCTATAACTTTCGTTTTATAGCTAGTTTTCACATTCACTGTCATCATGGGAATCTCTATCACTGTCACCAACAACAACAATTACTTCTTCTGTTTGTATGTCTATTACTTGCTCACTGATCCCTATTTTTAAATATTTAATCTACGCCCCTGATAGGAATATTGAAGAAAGAGGGCTGTAATCGTTATACCTAAAACTGCCTACTTTTGCCACCGCGCATCCACGCCATTTTAAAATTTCCGCCAGCTTCCAGCGTCAGGCCTGTACCTACCTAGTTCTCGCGAGGAAGCCAAGAATAAATCACGGCGGAAGTTTGAGGTTGAAAGTAAATGAGTAACATAAGAATTGTTCACTGGAGTTCATTAATCAATTACCTTATACTTTTGTACACATTAACGTGAATTTCATTTAAAAGAAACTATTTTTTTATATTTACCCTGCAGAGATGACTTCCTCTGTATTTCGCCATCCGACACATGTGACCGCGGGTGCGTTGGGTTCTTTTTTTGATAACGAAATTTTAAAGCGCATTTTCACACGATCAAAACGACTCGTTGTTTAGCTGACATTTTGCCAAGCCATTGTTTGTAGTCGAGAGCGTAGCCGTTGCTACGACTACACCCCCCGGCTTTGTGTTAATTCGTAGAAATTATTACCGAATCGATTTTCAACCGCTAAATCCCAATTAAAGTACCAAGGGATTAAACGCGAATTATTTCGTGGCTGCTTACAAATACAGAAAATTAATTTTCACATAATCCGCACATAAATAAAATTATGGCAGGCCGTTCACATGCTTACAAACAACGGCTCTCTCACATATATTGCCGTTATTTTTTCTTTTATTAATTAACATGCTCCCTTTAGGTATTACGCGATGTTCGAATTCGGCCTTATGCGTTTATATATTACTGTAAAAGCAAGAATAACAGTAAATTTCATTACATGCAATCATTGAAGAATACGACGTGGTGAAATAAAATTTATACAAATACCTTAAGCTATTTTTCATATATAAATAGAAAAGTAAAGGATTTTTCATTAGATAAACGCAGGTAGGGTCCTTAAGTAGGTAGCCCACTACCCCTTCTAAGTCCCATGAGGGCAAGGAAGGGGCATCATTAGGAATGGCACATGTGACCCCGCGAGGAAAAAATATTCCTATCCCATTAAAAAGTTTTAGAAAAATGAACATTATTAATGAAAAAAGTACAAAATTGAATGAGAAATGTATTTTACAAATGAGAAACTGTTCATTTTTACATATATAGCAACGGTATAACACAGCTAGTAATATTCTCATTATTTACAGAAACTATAGGTACATTTTTAAATACTTAGCATCGCATGAATACGTATAAAGGAATTTTCTTTTTGGTACTAGTTTTCCACAAATTTCAATACAATTTATACCTCCGTTTTGAGGAATATATACGTATATCACTTATTTGTAAAATTTGTTTGCTCTTAAGTAGTCAATAATACTTTAAATTGTAATCGTTTCACTGTTGTTCGACTTGATGAGTATGGTTTCAGTTGTCTTATAATAACAATATCAGGAAGTACACTCGTTGGTTTCGTTGCAAATGTAAAAGCTTTCACTGAAACGACGCCATAATTGGGCAAGGGGATTGTTACCATTTTTTATAAGTTTTTTCATTTTACCGAGAGTATTTTCAAAAGGATTTGCGAGCCCCCACAAGATAGATTTAACTGTCAGTTTATACATGTGTAAGGTTTGCCCTTTAAGACCTATATGAAAACCCCATAATGCAATCCTCATTATAGTATCACCACTATCTATAGGCGGGATTTTCATGAGGAATCTACGGGGAAATCCCTATATCGGCATGCCCCTCATTAGCCACATGAGGCCCGCACGTTACATAGCATGCCTCTTATAAATTCTAGCCGGGTTAATAGTTCTTCCTTTAAAAGTATAGAATTGAACAAAAGAAAACAAGCAAAGAGTGTACCTAAGTACATACTTTTTTTTAAAAAATATCTTAATACCTAACCAAAAATCTTACACAAACCAAGAAACAGAAAAATTATAGTAACTAAATATGTATTCTTTCATTAGAAATTGAAATTAAATAATATTATTGCTGTAAATAGTTTTTGTTATGAATTTTTTGGCTTATTTTCAGACTGATACAATTTCTACTATTCACGCCCATTGAAAGCATAAAAAATACCTATTTTACAT